CTCTATCCTTACCCACACACTTTCAACAGGGCAACTCTCAAAATCCTGAATTTCAGTGCAAGCGTATTCATTCTTGACATATAGTGCCACCCCACCTCCTTTTTTTGTTTATTCTGTTCCGTTTACACAAGGTATATCCTTCAATCGCTGTGCTCCATATATGAGACTCATCCCACCAAGTCTCAGTGATACCTATCAGGTCATACTTACTTTCCACTATTTGAAGTTCAAGTTCGTCCTGTTTATTTCCTATACTCTGTGCATTAGTATAAAGACATCGCAGAAAAATGATCACGGCGCAGCCCACGTAGGTCACTGGAATAGATCCTTCGTTATCCAACAGTACTCCACAGCAACTCACTCAGCCTCCAACAACCCCCAAAGCACAAACAGCCCCAACCAGACTTAAACAGAACCACTCTCTATCAGGCTACAAAGAACCCAACTCTCTCTCAGCTCCCACACAGCAGCTAGGAAGGCAAAGGGAGAGAGAAAAATCCCCTACCTTCTATCAGCAACCCACCACGTGCTCTCCACTCCTTGCCTCAGTCCAGGTGACTGAGCTCTTGGTGCTGGGGGGGCAACACTGGGAGAGCTTCTAGTGTCCTGGCCCCACTGATGGACCTCCTGATGGGACCTGGTATTTTTGGACCAGATGGGCCATTGGTCTGATCCAACATTGGCTTCTCTTATGTTCTTATGGCACTGTGACACAGATGGCCTCTCATCATCTGTGTTCATCCTTAATAAGTTAGACTAGAATACTATCCTATGTCTAAGCTTTCCTGTCTAAATTGTAGTTCTAGAATAAAGTGTATGTAGGGCTCCGGTCACACAGGCAGGAAAATGCGGGGGGGGAAATGTGGCTGTTTGCCCCGGGGCAAACTAACGCAGGGTTAAGCGATCAGACCTCCCGTGGAGGTCCCGTGGAAGTCCCGTGGATAGGGAGAGGTGCTGATCACAGGACGGTCCTGCGTGCAACAAAGAAGTGGTGCGGTGTGGCAAACTGGTTTTTCCCCCTGTGTACACCAAAAATGTGCATGCTCTGTTGGGTGCTTGTGCGCATCCACGGAGACTTGGGGGGAAAAAACCCTTTTTTGCAAGGGGACATGGGTGGGCGCCGGATGCCACCGGAAACGCGATCAGATGCCCGCCCTTGCCCCGCGGTTTCCGGAAACTAGTATCTCCAAGGTACTAGTTTTTTGCTGCGCGTTTTCGGCGGGAAGCCTCGGTTGAGCCACGGGAGCGCTACGCTTCCCAGATGTGCCGGTGAGATCGCGCCCGGAAGATCCGCCTGTCTTCCGTCTCTCTAGCGTGGCTAATGTTCCGTGTGTGACCGCAGCCTATGTTTGTTATGTCTTAAAAAATAAAAAATATTGTAAAAAAAAAGAATAAAGTGACTAGTATTAATCTAAAACTTGAAAAGTGGCTCTGTGTAGCTTTGTAAACTGGGTGACCTGGTACAAAGACACTCCTGTGTGTGTAGCTTTATTTAAAGCACTCTGCTAAGCTAGTGGGTGCTGGACTTAACTATTCCGGTTAACCCAACAGAAGTCAAGGAGAGGGGGTAAAGGAACAAGAAGGTGGCATTTTTGTAGTTTGAAGTGGGTAGCTCTTAATATCTCTCCTATATTATAATCCTGTTTTGGGGTGGCAAGATTCCATGCTCTCCCTCAGCCATTGGCCCGTCAGCTGCCACTCAAGAATAGTGTGCCATTGGCCGGGTACTGGGTCTGCTCCTCTTCCCCGCCCACTCCCCCTTCAGCCACTGTGCCCTGTGAGAATTACTGGCAAACAGCTTTCTCTCTTGACAAAGACACCTTTCCTGTGTGGGACTAACTCTTCCCTCTGTGGCTGTTGGTAGGTGTCATGAAATGGCAGTTACCTGTGTTTGTAAGATGGCTGTGGTTCTTTGTTTAAAATGTTCTCCCATAAGGTTTAATTGAGCTGTAGTTCCAGGGAGGGGCCTGCAGGGGTATCACTCACTAAATTTTCTCCCATAAGGTTTAAATGAGCTGTAGTTCCAGAGAGGGGCCTGCAGGGGTATCACTCACTGGGCTGAATGGGGCTTCCTCATCTCCTGGCCTACAGTTCCCAGCTGCCCCAAGGCCAAAAAGTGCAGGAAAACAGGGACTGTCCCAAGGCAGTCTTCGTCCCTGGGAGGAAGCAGAAATTCAGCCACTCTACAGTCGGCTGGACTGGGGAATGAATGGAAGTTTCCCTGCTCTTTTGGGCAAGAGAGAGAGGCTGAAGTACAGGTGAACCCACAACCTCCAGAGGTAGAGAGTATTCTGTGCAGGAAATAGCATTGTTTACCCCCTGTTGATTTATGTCCTGTTGGTTCATAGTGTGTGCTTACTCCTACAGTGTGTGTGTGCTCCAAAACTGTGTAAATAGTTAAATAAATTATTTAATTTGGGCTAATAAACTGTGTTGTGCTCTGACCACATAGTTTCCCCTGCTCTGCACAATACCAAAGGGAGAGGGTAGCCCAAAGGCCAGACCCCTGGGTTGCCAACTTTCCAGGGATCCCCCAAAGATTGGGGATTCCATCTCCAAATAGGGAGATTCGGCCAGAGGGGTCTCACTGTCCATCTAAAAAGGCAGTGACGATTCCATGAGTGGTGGCAGCGAACTTAAGGAGTGAGAT